AGAGTTGAGTTTCCCTTTGGTAAATGACCGAGGATTGAAGAGGCAGAGCAGCCACACCTCGGGCCTGAATCCCCCTCAGAAGGGACTCCCCAGAAACCCTGCTCAGGAGGAGGGAAATCCGGGCGACTCCTTGCCATTCTGCGGGCAGAAGCGGCCTCGAAGACGGGAGCATTTGCGGCCTGCACGCTTCTTTTTCCCTTTGCGAAGGCTGGGGTTCAATTCAGGGACTCAGGAAATTCGCTCATAACTTTCAGCACCACGAGAAAAAAAAACACTTTAATTCCACACACACGTGTTTGAGCTATAGATAGATAGATAGATAGATAGATAGATAGATAGATAGATAGATAGATAGATAAATCTGGAGAGGAGGCGCTTTCACGTTCAAGATCTCAACCACAAGCGACTACGAACTGATCTATGGTAACCACACGAAAATCCTCTGGACCTCCTCGGGCCTGTCTTTGCTGGCTTTAGGAGGCCTCCCTGAATTGGCCCTTTCTCTGACTGCTGTTTTGTTTTTGTGTTGTCGAAGGCTTTCATGGCCGGAATCACTGGGTTGCTGTAAGTTTTTCGGGCTGTATGGCCATGTTCCAGAAGCAGGAAAATAGCCATACACCCGAAAAACTTACAGCAACCCACTGTTTTTGTTTTGTGCCGAGGGGCAACTCCTCAGGGATATGAGGAAGACCTCGGGTGTGCTTTGGTCTCCGCAATAATAATAATAATAATAATAATAATAATAATAATAATAATAATAATAATAATAATAATAATAATAATAGAAAAGCTAGGTTTCCCCTAAACTCCTTCCCATCCAATCCCAAATAAAGGTTATAATCAATAAAAATAAAAGGAGAGAAAAGCCAGGTTTTCCCTAAACTCCCATCCCAAATAAAGGTAAGGAAGTTTCAAGAAACAAAAGGCTACAGGAGGAAGGGAAGAATGGGAAGGAAGAGGCTTTGTGTAGATCCAGAGGTGCCATTCATGTGTAGGTAGAGCAGCATTTCCACAAAAGAGCCTGGTTGTGTGCTTATGAATCTACTGGGTTGTTGTTAGTTTTAGAGGTTGTGAGGATGCCTGCCATCGATGCAGGCGAAACGTCAGGAGAGAATGCTTCTGGAACATCGCCACACAGCCGCGGAAAACTCACAACAACCTAGTGATTCCGATCATGAAAGCCTTCGACAAAATGTATCTCTTTTCTCTCACACTTGCATTGGCTGACTTAGAAGTAGTATTTTGAGATTTAACCTTAGTCGAAGGTGAAGTTTGAATTGAATCATGAAAAACTATTTTTCTCTGTCTCTGCCCTTCCCCTACCTCCAATCTTCCTGGCTTTGAATGTCACAAAGACAACAGCAAAAGGGTTGCGACCAAATAAGTGTAGCCAGGATCGGTGAGCATGTTTATCTGGACGCCAAAACACGTTTACTCCAGAGTAGCCTGGTCTCTATTAGAGGAAAGTGGGCAGAAAGGGAAAAGGAGCTTCCACGGGGTTAGAAGTCCACTTTTATTAAATACCCCCTTCTCTCTCTCTCTCTCTCTCTCACACACACACACACAAACAAGGCAGGGAGCCAGCCTGGGAGGAGAAAACTTTTCCCTCCAAGCCCAGGCGCTGAATTGACTCGGTGGATCTGGCTGTCAAGGATTCACACCCGCGTCAACCTCAAAGCAGGGGGCGTGGAGGAGGAGCCCCCGAAGGGGAGGGCAGAGAAGGGGGAGGGAGGGAAGGAAGGAAGGGGCAAAGAGGAACTCCTCCAAAGTGGAGAGGGAGAAGAGCAGCCTTTGGAAACGTCCGCCCAAGTCTTTGCCCAAACGGGTCTGATTCTTTCGACCTTCCCTTCATTTCTTTCCGCCGTTCTCCCTGCCCTTAAAAACAACCCTAACCACCACCCCAGCAAAACATAATAATAATTCAAAACGAGCAGGACAAACAGTTGTTTTTCCCTCTCGAAACTTTGCTGGCATTGGAGGAGCGGGACATGGAAGGGGAAGCAGGGGCTCCAAGCGAGGCGGCGGCGTTGAGGCATTGTTCGCCTTTCGGCTCCACTGGAAAAGGGCTGAAAGATCAGGAGACGCCGCCGATCTGGCTTGCCTTTTGCCTCTGCTCTCAGGAGAAACATGGAGATATAACAATGGGAGATATATTTATTTGGATGGCTAAAAGAGACGCTCAGATGCGTCCCTATCTTTTTCTATATAAATAAAAATGTAATGTTCGTTTGTGGGATTAACATAACTCAAAAACCACTGGACGAATTGACACCAATTTTGGACACAAGGCACCTACTAACCCAAGGAGTGACCATCACTCAAAGAAAATTGGTTTTGTCATTTGGGAGTTGTAGTTGCTGGGATTTATAGTTCACCTACAATCAAAGAGCATTCTGAACTCAACCAATGATGGAATTGAACCAAATGTGGCACACAGGACTCCCATGACCAACAGAAAACACTAGAAGAGTCTGGTGGGTATTGACCTTGAGTTTGGGAGTTGTAGTTCACCTACACCCAGAGAGCACTTTGGATTCAAACAATGATGGATCTGAACCAAACTTGGTACGAATATTCTATATGTCCAAATATGAACACAGATGGAGTTTGGGGAAAATAGACCTTGACGTTTGGGAGTTGTAGTTACCGGGATTTATAGTTCACCTACAATCAAAGAACATTCTGGACCCCACCAACGACAGAATTGGGGCAAACTTCCCACACAGAACCTCGATGACCAACAGAAAATACTTAAGGCCATCCAGTCCAACTTCCTTCACCAGGGCAAGAAAACGTAATCAAAGCCCTCCCGACAAAGAGCCATCCAGCCATAGATATAGATAGATATATATGATTCACGCACACACAGATATAGTATCATAGATTTGAAAGGGACTGCTAAAGAAGGACAATTATATGTTGTATATCCCAGAGTAGGCAAACAATCTCCACATCAACGATGACAAAGAAACAACAAGAAATACTGTTTACCCACAAGCATAAAGAAATTATATATATTAGAAACCAAAACTTTCTCATTACTTTATTTTCCAGATCACTAGACTGGGCCACAGCAACGCGTGGCAGGGGACGGCTAGTATATAATACACACACACACACTGCTGTGTGTCCAAAAGAAAGAAGACACCTCATTGGATTCGGCGGATTTTCCCAGATCCCGAGGAAAAACCTAAATAGCATGGGCAAACTTCGACCCTCCAGGAGTTTTGGACTACAACTCCCAAAATTCCTAACAGCCTAACAGCCTGTGGGAGTTGTAGTCCAAAACCCCTGGAGGGCCGAAGTTTGCCCATGCCTGCTCTAAAGGCACCACATCTTGTCTGAGGTTACAAGTTAAGCAGGGTCAGCCCCGATTAGTCTTTGGATGGGAGACCGCTCCCAAATACCATGGTGCTGGAGGTTACATTTCCAAGGACCTGAAAAAAAAAAACATCTCTGACGATTCTTTGCCCTTCGAAATTCAAGTGGTAGGCGACTTGATGACACACACACACAATTCAAGGGACTTCSCTTTGATCCAGAGGCCTCCCTGCTAGGCCACTACCACCCCGTGGTCCCCCGCAAAATTCGAGGGAAAGTGCATATTTTAGGCAACTGGAGCTCTGTTTAGCCGGTGGGGAGTTGTTGAGAGGGAAAACGGAAGGGAAGATGGTGAGCATTTTTACCTAGTCATGCAAAACGGCCGTGGAAATTAATTACAAGGGGKGGGGGGCAGCTGATACGGCAAGATTCATGCATTCATTCACCACCAAACCCTGTTCCCTTCTCCAGCTTTCCCTCCTATCTGGTCTAGAGAAGAGTAATAGAGGGATAGAAGATATATCTTCGGCTTTTCTTTCCAGCTCTAATTTTCCATCGCTCCCCACCTTTTCCCCCTGGAGTGCAGGGATGTCTTTCATTTTGGCTCTGCTCACCAGCTACTGGGAAATGTGGACGTTTGTGCTTCTGGCCAGATTTTGGCTTCAAATCCATGACTGGCTTAGTAAAAGAATTGCAGGGACACTGGTCTAGCCTCTCAGCCACACTGGTTGGCACCCCTTTCTGCGTTTCTGCTCGTGAAGGGCTGTCGTTTTATTTCCTCGCCTTGATCTATGGTTATTTTGGACTGAAAACACCGCCAAGGGCTTTGGAAATAGCAACGGGCTGGCTTGGTTTTGGGAGAGCAGGGAGAAGAAATAGAATAGGTTCGCCCCCTTCCAAATGAAGGGTTCTACTAGGTTCTACTAGGTTTAATCTCCTCTCTTATCCACAAGGCCTCAAATTACAGGACAGGGTAAAAGTTGGAGCTGGGAATGCCCCTCATCTGGAAATTCGTAGATGGCAGTCTTTCCATCCTCCCTTGGAAAGACAATGTGTGAACCCCTAAGAATTGCATGGTTGATCCCCACCACTCCTAGGCACCGATATGGAAAGCTAATGCTGTATCCGTATTTGGAGATGGTTTTGGATGACAGGGAGCAGGGATTTCTCCTCTCGTTGTTACAAGATACCAGAGGCATCCTTCTAACTCAAAGCAACCTTCGCTCTTCTCGTTCTTCTCCTTCTCCTCGTCCTCCTCTTTCTCCTCCTCCTCGTTCCCCTACTCCTTCTCCTCCTTTCTCTCCTTCTCTCCTCATCCCCTACCCCTTCTCCTCCTTCCCCTACTCTTTCTCCTTCTCCTACCACTACTCGTCCGTCTCCTTTTCTTCCTCCTCCTTCTTTCTCCTCTTCTTTTTTCTTCCCCTTCTCCTTTTCTTCCTCCTCCTCCTTCTACCCTTCCCCTTCTTCCCCTACTCCTCCTCCTCCTTTTTCTCTTCCTCCTCCTCCTCCTCCTCGTCCTTCCCCTACCCCTTCTCCTCCTCCTCCATTTTCTCCTCTTCTTCGTCCTACCCCTTCTCCTCCTCCTCCTTTTTCTCCTTCTCTCTCCTCATTTCCCTACCCCTTCTCCTCCTTCTCCTCCTCCTTCCCCTACTCTTTCTCCTCCTTCTCCTTTTTCTCCTCCTCCTCCTCTTTGTCCTTCCTCTATCCCTTCTCCTTCTCCTCCTTCTCCTCCTCTTTCCCCTACTCCTTCCCCTCCTCCTTCTTATCCTCCTTCCTCTACCCCTTAGTCTTCTTCTTCCTCCTCCTCCTCAGTACCTCTGATGCCACCGTCCCGCTTCCACCGCTGGAAGCATTCAACACGCGTCTACTCCTCGTGTGGACCCAGAGACTGGGCGAGGATTCTCCACCTTGTCTGCAAGGCCGGGGTGGTGGTGAGAGAAGTGGGCACATTTCTGGCTTATCTGAAGCTTTGTTATGGGTCTGACGTGAGCTCTCGTCCGGGTTCCCTGCCTCTCCCCTCTTCCTCCTCCCTCTCCTTTCCCCCTCCCCCAATATTACAGGCAGAATTTCAGCGAAAAGTGTTACAGTATGACGGAGCTGGAGCTCAGGATAAGCACGCAAGGAAACCCTAGTAGCAACAACTTAGCCATTGCAAAGAGAGAGAGAGGAAGAGAGGGAAGGAAGGAAGGCAGGAAGGCAAAAGGGGCGGGGGTGAGAGAGAGAGGAAGAAAGGAAGAAAGAGAGGAAAGCGAGAAGGAAGAGGAAAGACGAGGCCGAGCTAGCGAACGTGAGTATGCTCGTTCTCCTCCGAGGCTTCCCCAATAAGAAAGGAAAAGGGGGGAGATGGAAACGGCAACAAAACTTAAAGAAGGAAGACCAAATACCGGTTGAGGAAGCCTGCTTTGACACGCCAAAAAAGGCAGAACAAAACGCCCCCCTTTCAAATTGTGACTTCGAAATGGTTATTCTGTTCGTCTTCCCCATCCTGGCATTCTTATAGGAAGGGATAGATCTCCCCTTGCTTTTCTTAGATAGCCCGAATGAGACCCCAAAATACTATGTATTCTTATATATATATTTGCCAGGAGGGCTTCCAAAGGGGCGCCTTCCTTCCCTCAGCTCCAGAGCTGCAGAGAGAGAGAGAGAGAGAGACCAAGCTCTGGGCTGGCTGGGAGCTCCGGATTGTTTAATAGAAAGATTTATATACTAACAGTATTATTTACTTTGGGAGGGGAGGCGGCAGCCTAAGAGTATGCTAATTAGCCGGAGATTTGGCCGGGGGGGCGGTGGAAAGGGGGTGGAATATCCATTTTTATTGCATCACCTGTCAGGAGTGTCCAATCAGCGCTGGCTTTGGGGGAATTAATTGATGAAGGTGTCTCCGGACGAGCTCCCTTCACTCTGTCATTTGATTTGGAGCGAAAGCAGCGGCGGGAAGAGAGAGAAAGAGAGAGAGGGAGAGCGGGCGAGAGAGAGAGAGAGAAAGAAAGACAGAAAGAAAGAGAGAGAGGGGAGAGGGAGGGGGGATTGCGAGGAGGCTCTCCTGGTTTTCTCTGCAGCCCCTTCGCCTCGCATTCCTTTATCCTGGCCGAGAAGGGGGCGTGCCGTTCGCCCAAAGGGCTCCAGGTAGCCAGCCTGCCTTCCTCTCAGTGCCGTCGTTGGGAAACACCGGGGGAAACACCGAGCCGGTTGGGGCCCCCTTTTTCCTCTTCTTCCGCCTCCTCCCTTCCCCAATTTCCACGACATGCCTTTTGCCCACCCCCTCCGCCTTGGAGCGCAGCCGCCCTGCCTTCCTCTCTTTCTCTGGGCTGCTTTTCCCCTCCAAAGTTTGACCAGGAATAACAGGCTTTGTTCTTTTCCATCCAGCAGGATGCCTTGAGAGCCAAGCCAGCACCTGGCTGAGGAGGATAGACTCGCTCTCTCTCTGCCTCTCTCTCTCTCTGCTTGGATTTCCTCCCCCAGCACACCTTTTTTGCCTGGGCTGTTGGGCTGCCTGAGGAGAGGGGGCTCCTTCTCCGCGGCTGATGCCCCCCCTGCCCCCATGGTGGGGCGGTGAGGAGGAGGAGGAGGAGGAGGAAGCGCAGCATGGGCGACCTGAAGTCCGGCTTCGAGGAGGTGGACGGCGTGCGCCTGGGTTACCTGGTGATCCGGGGCAAGCAGATGTTCGCCCTCTCGCAGGTCTTCACGGATCTGCTCAAGAACATCCCTCGCACCACGGTGCACAAGCGCATGGACCACCTCAAGGTGCAGAAGCACCACTGCGACCTGGAGGAGCTGCGCCGGCTCAAGGCCATCAACTCCATCGCCTTCCACGCCGCCAAGTGCACGCTCATCTCCCGCGAGGACGTGGAGGCGCTCAACACCTCCTGCAAGACGGAGCCCGTGCTCAGGACTAAGCGCCGGGCGTCCACGGGGCGGGAGGACCCCTCTCCCGGGACACAGACTAAAGCTGTGGCAGCGGCAGCAGCAGCGGCAGCGGCGGCGGCGGCGGCGGCCTTTTGGAAAGACAGGGGCAAACTTTGGCTGGGTTTGAATGGAGCCGCTGCTTCTGCCGCTGCAGCCGCTGCCGGGCGGAGAAATGGCTGGCGCAAAGCGGGGCCGGGCGCTTTCCTACCGGCTTCGGATCTACCTCACTTTTGGAGCCCTCCGCCGGGGCTGAGCTCGCCGGGACTGCCCCGCTCGCCTGGCAAAGGGTCTGCAAACTATGAAACTGCCCCGCTCCGCCCGCGTTACCTCTCGCTGGCCTCGGAACCCGCCTGTTTCCGCAGCCTTTTCTGCGCCAAGCACCCGCGCTACTACTACCACCATCACCACCACCATCACCACGCCTCGGCCGCCATCTCCAGCCAGGCCAAGCCATCCTCCGCCGCCCGCAGCAAAGCCAAGCGGAGGAGGAAAGCAGCGGCGGGGGAAGAGGGAGGCCTGGGGTTCGGAGGCGGCGGAGGGGGGCGGCGCTGCCTCTTCCTGCCCCGCGCCGATTCCAAGCCGCCGGACAAGGGCGCCCTCCTCGCCTCGCCCGCCTTGAACGGCTTCCTGGCCCCGCCGCAGCACCACTCTTTCCCGGAGAGCTACAGCAGCGACTCCGAATCCAGCTCCTATTCCGACCAGGCGGCTAACGACTCCGACTTCTGCTCCAGCTTAACCAGTAGCAGCAATTCGGGCTCTTCGGAGGAAGATGAAGAAGAGGAGGAGGAGGAGGATGAAGAAGAAGTCAGCTGCGGTTCTGATTCCAGTGAACTGAGCTCTGACGAGGAGGAGGAGGAGGAAGAAGAGGAGGAGGAGGAAGAAGAAGAAGACGAGGAGGAGAGCAGCTCCGAGTCCGACTCCAGCACCGGCTCCAGCCAAGTGTCGGTGCAGAGCATCCGCTTCAGGCGCACCAGTTTCTGCCCGTCGCCTGGACCGCCACTCCCCGCCCCTTTCCAGGAGCTGCCGGGCCCGGCGAGGACTATCAAAGCCGAATCCTCCTCTTCCTCCGAAGAAGAAGAAGAGGAAGAGGAGGAGGAGGAGGAGGAGGAGAGGGGAGGGGGGCCGGTGGGGCAGGCGGAGTGGGCGCCCAAGGTTGAGCCGGGCCTGGGCTGTTCCGAGGAGGGGCCCCCTCCCCCGGGAAGGCCGGGCTTGGCCACGGGAGGCAGCCGCCGCCCTTGCCGCCGCCCCGCCGGACCCTGCCAGGCCCTCAAGGCCAGCCCGCCGCCGAGACTCTGCCGAGAGGGCAGGAAAGCCCGTCTGGACTGCCCGTCTCCTCTTCCTCCCCTTCCCCTTCCCCTGCTTCCTCCTCCTCCTTCTCCTCCACCCGCTGCAGAGGAGCCCCAAGCAGCCCTCAGGGTTGAACTGCCCAGGAAGTGTCCCGAGGAGGGCTGCCTGGTCGCCCTCTCTTCCCAAAGGCACCCTCTTCCCGAGCCCCCGCCGGCGACACCACCCCTCGTGCCCCTCGTGCCCCTGGCCCAGATCAAAGTCGAGGATAGCAGCGCCAACGCCGAATATGGAGCCCTCCCCGTCCAGAGCCCCTCCGCGTGGGAAGGCAGCGGGCCCCGGGAGCCCAAGGAGGAGAGGACTGAGGCCCAGCTCTCCCCTCCGCCCCCGCCGCCCCCGGACCCCCCACCGCCGCTGCCCTTGCTGCTGCCAACGAAGGAAGACCCGGGATGCCCCGAGGAGACCCCCCGCCCGCCTTCGAGAGGTCCCGCCGCGCCCAGCAGCCCCTCCAAACCTAGCAGGACGCCCCCGCCGCCCCCGGCCCCCCTCCGCACTTTCGCCAAGCCCCAGGACGACGACGACGACGACGACGGGGAGTACAAATTCGGAGCCCGCGTGAGGAAGAACTACCGGACCCTGGTGCTGGGCAAGCGGGCCCTGCTGACCCACCCCGCGCCGCCTATGAAGCCAAATCTCAAGTCGGCCCGCAGCCCTCGCCCGGCCCCTCCGGGCAAGTCTCCGCTGCCTCCGCCGCCGCCTCCGCTCCTGGAGAGTCCCGAAGGGCCCCTGGAGGGCCTGGCGGTGCTCGGGCGGCGCAAGCGGGTGGGCGGCAGCGTGGCCGCGGCCCTCAAGCGACCCTTCAGCTTCTTGGGCAACTTCCCTTGCCCGCCCTCCTTGATGCTGGGCCTGGACGGGGATCTGCTGCCGGCCTACAGCTTCAGCACCACCAAGGAGGCCCAGCCGCCCCCCAAGGCCCACCCGGTCTGGAAATGGCAGCTGGGCGGCTCGGCCATCCCTTTGCCCCCCAGCCACAAATTCAGGAAATTTCACTCGTGAAAGCGGGAAGGGGAAGACCTCCCCGACTTCTTGGTTCTCCTCTTGGCTGGGATTTTTTAATTATTATTATAATATTATTATCATTTCTCCTCCGACCCTCTTTCTTCACCTTGGCAGGATGGTGTATTCCTGCCCACTCCATGGCATCCTCTCTGGTTTATTCTGTTTTTTGGGGGGAAACAGAAGAAAGAAGAAGGAATTGGATTACTCTTATCCCTTGCCGTGAAGACAGATCTTGGGGGAAGAAGAGGGTGGGTGGGGAAGGGGGAGGCCAGGATATTCTGGAAATATTCCCTAGACTACTTTCGGGGGCGAAAGCCTCGAGTTGATGAAACAAAACACAACACCTCAGTGGAATCTGATAAAGCTGGAACACTTTACTGTCTCAGAATTCTAATAATACACCCGGTACCTCAATTCAACTGCTACAAGTAATTAAAAAACAAAAGAAGGTTGAATTATAATTCGAACGAGCCATTAATATGTAAATGCACTAGATTGGGAACTTGGAAGTCTGTTTTTAACTGGTCGATTCCGTTTCTTCAGCGAGAAGGTTGCACAGGGAAGGTTTTTTTACTGTACCTCTCATTCACTGGGGAAGAAGCCCTCTCAGCTTGGTTGTCCTCCCACCCCACTTGGTCTCCTCTTCCTTCAGAAGCCACTGCAGTGGACACAGAGAAAGAGAGGTGTTTCCAGGTCACTGCTAGGAAAGTTCCTTCAATAGATATGGATTGAAGGTGATGGTGATGATTGTCTTTGCGAGCAAAAGGGAGGGAAAGTGGCTCAAAACAAAAGGATGTGGAGCAAGCCAATAAGGGTGGGTGCACCCAGTGAAACGTTTAGATTGGCCCATTGATAGGATAGGACACCTTGGCTGATGGTCCTCAGTCCACCCTACAGGAGAGGACAATCCTCTGAAAAGTTTACTTGGGAGGTTGGTTTCAAATAAGGGATGCCTAGGATTTACTGCCTTCACTTTGCTGCGGACTGAGATATATCCATGGATCTGATCACACTAGAGAATGAATCCACTTTAAATCCGGTTCCTGCCTCCTGCAGAATTCTGGGGTTTGTAGTTTAGTGAGGTTGTTAAAAGCTCTCCTCTAAACTACAAACCCCAGAATTGTGCAGGATGCAGAAACCGGATTTAAAGTGGATTCATTCTCTAGTGTGATGATGCATAATACTTCTGAAGGTTGGAGCTGGGCATCCCAAAAGTTCTCCCAAATTGGCAAAGCCAGGTGAATGAATGCGAGGTTCTCTCCCTTGGAATAAAGTGCAGGCAGACCCAGCATGCTGAATGAATGAAACAGAGGGCCCAGTGGAAGGTGTATTCCCCATGGAGAATGTACCCTATTCTTGATAGCTGCTTTGGCACAAAAACTCAGGCGTTTTAAAAACCAGGACTTGTCACTGTTTTCTCCACATCTCTGGAAACTTGACTTTCCCCCCAACCATCCTATCTTTGTAGCAGGATCATTTCTTTTTTCCCCCCTTTTTTTCCTACTGCACATGACAATCAGAGGCAATTGTCTATATTTGCACTTAAAAACTCGACATATAGTTGAAGCAGGCAGACTTGTAGAGTCGAGCCTTTCGGGAGGGAAGACATGCCGGTGTTAATATGTTGTGATGTTGGAAGCAGTAAATCAAAACGATGGAAATTTGCACTGTTGGAAAAAGCATGCTTTAGCTTTATTTTCAATTAAAACACTGTTTTAAAAAATGACGATTTCTAGACTTTTTGCAGGGCTGCCCATTGTTTTCTGCTCTCTTTTGGGGGTGAGGCTTTGGCTGGAAGGAATGGTGCTTTCCAGAGATTGATTGTGGTGTCTTATACAAAAAATGCGACACAAAAACAAATCTAGGGAGGTGTCAGTGCTATTCTGTTTGGGGCTGGGAAAGAGAGGAAGCTCAGCCAAATTAAGCAGAGCCATTGGATATTTTAAGGGTTGAGAAAGTGATACAATGGAGTTGCTGAATCAGCACTTTGGGTTGATTGTCGGTTTCTGGGCTGATCTTTTTCATTCGGGTTTCATTGGATAACAAGATTCCTCTCTCTGATTTAGAATTGTTTACACCCAGGAGAATGATTTATCCTATATCGTAAAAGAAAAGAAAACAACAAAGGGCTGTTTACATTGAGCCTTAGAGTCAACATTTTCTTATGGAAATTCACTGTTCACTTCGTTGCTGTTGCTGTTGTTGTTGCTGCTGCTGCTGTTGTTTAAAAATCTTTGAGATCTTGCCCCTGCTAACAAACAGCAGGAGCAAGATCTCAATATTCCTAAATAGATTTAGGCTAGTGTGACCTTTTGTTTTCAAAATACAACCAAAACTAGAGAGAAAGAAAAACAGAGGCTCTTCCACACAATCATATAACCCAGAATATCAAGGCAGAAAATCCCACAATATCTGTTTTGAACTGAGTTATCTGAGTCCACATTGCCATATATTCCAATTCAAAGCAGAAAACGTGGAATTTTATTCAGCTGCGTGAAAGAGGCCTAAGAGAAAGAAAGAAAGAAAGAAAGAAAGAAAGAAAGAAAGAAAGAAAGAAAGAAAGAAAGAAAGAAAGAAAGGAGATAAGATGAGATGGGGGCAGGGAGAATGACTTTCCTCTCTCTGCAGGACACCTGCAGGAGGTATTTAGAAATATACCAACCCACACCCTTCCCCCAATGTTATCCTGTTGCAATTGTTGTCGTGTATTACTCATTTAACCTGCTCTTTGTGGAAGTATCAATGCAATTGTTGTGGAAGAAATGTTGCTCTAGACTTGTGTGTGACTGCATAAGATATGGCCTTATGTCACCCACACAGGAGACATTTAGTCTGCTTAGACTCTCAGCTTGGGGGGGGGGGCACACACACTTCCTTTGGTTTCTTTAGAAAGCCTGGAAGTGGGGTGGGTCGCAGAAAGCCTTTCCTTGGTAAAAGAGCCTTGTTACCTTAGGACCCTTCCCCACAACCCTATATCCCAGAATATCAAGGCAGAAAATACCACATTATTTGAGTGTGGACTCAGATAACCCAATCCAAAGCAGATATTGTGGGATTTTCTGCCTTGATATTCTGCGATATAGGGTTGTGTAGAAGGGCCCTTAGAGGCAAGAGTTGGAAAGGCCCCCTTTTCACATAAAACACTACTTGGGTTGTTGTGAGTTTTCTGGGCTGCATGGCCATGTTCCAGAAGTATTCTCTCTTGGCATTTTGCCTACATCTATGCCAGGCATCCTCAGAGGTTGTGAGGTCTGAAGTAAAAGAACTCACAACCTCTGAGGATGCCTGCCATAGACACAGGCGAAAGGTCAGGAGAGAATGCTTCTGGAACATGGCCATACAGTCCGAAAACTCAGAACAAGATAGTGATGAAAGCCTTTGACAATACATTAAAACTCTGCTTCTTTTTCAATCCCTTCCCCATTGGATCCCACTTCATCAACTGGATATGGTCTTCTTCTGCGACATCAGAGCCCCTCCCCCAGCAACAATCTAATATTATATAATACTAATATTATGAATGATGCTAATGATGCTACTATGCTAATAATATAGTATGTTTTATGTACATATGACTTGTAAGCAGCTCTGAGTCCCCTTCAGGGTGAGAAGGGCGGCATATAAATATCGTAAATAAATAAATAATAAAAATAAAATAGGTCCCTTTCACTAAAATAGGCAGAGATACAAAATATTTCAATCCGGATACATTCAAAAGCACTACTGTTAAAAAACAACAACACAGGAGCATTAAAAATTTAACCAGTTACTCTAACAAAACAGGCCTAGTCCTAACTAACTGTAGCCTTTGTGCCTTAAAGGTTGTCGTTTTCATAATGTCAGGCCAAAGGTTTTTGAGCATGTCAATCCACTCCTTCCCAGAAATGCATGGGGGGGGGGGGGGGGGGATCCACTAGATCTCCCTAAATATCTCAGTGGTGTCCCAGTGTCCATCTCTCTTGAATGCCAGCCACCTAAAAAAGCTTTGGGTTTGGTTCAGCAAAGAGAGCAGATTTTTCAGCCCAGCCCTCAATGCTGAGAAAGAGAGGCCTGCTTTTCTCCTAGGTGCCTCCCCCAAGGCATTATGTAACCATTGCTGCCGGTCCAGTGGATCCTGGCATGGGATTTGGGGCCATAGGGAAACTGTAACCCCTCACCTCCCGCCTTCCCTTGCTCTAGAACAATCCCATTGACTTTAGCTGGCAGACCTTGTTTACTTTCTCAGAGTGGGACGCAAAGGGGCGTCTGAGGAGGCCTGCTTGTTTCAAACCTCTTTTTAAGGAGGTGCATTTCATTTTTCGAGGTAGTTTGAGGCAAGACGAAATTGCCTTTCTCCTCCCACAAACCTCTCCAGCTTTCCAGGTTCTTGGGGTCGAAACAAACAACCAAAAAATTCCCTGGGTCGAATCCAAACGCTTTTCCCCACTCTGGAAAACAAAGGAGACGCTGGGTTATATATCTACCATTCAGATGAGAACATGTGGATATGGCTTTTAGCAAAACCCTAAGCCTCACAGTAGGACGTTTGTAGAAAAGCAATGGATCCAAAAAAGTCCACCCTGACTTGAAGATAGAGGCAGAAATAACCTTTAAAGAACCAACAACCCTGCGGCCTGTTTCCTCCCTCTGCAGAAATAAGGAAAAGCAGGCCTGTCTGTTGCACAGCAGCTTGCAATTCAGCCGTTCTTGGGGTGGTTAAAAAATAACCATCTAACTCTCCCTTCCTCTCGCTTTCTCTCCGATTTGGATCCCCCCAAAACGGATGTTTCTGCAGAAAGCCAGGGCCTCATGCGGCCTTGTTTTGGTTTCACTTCGGGGGCGCGCGCTCGCCTGGGCTGCAGAGTTGGTGCTCAAAGCCGGGCCTTTTTGGCAAGCGAGATCTCGCACAGGAAGCCTGGCTCGCTGTGGTTTTTTTACGGTTAGGTTAAGATGCTCGCGTGGGGAGGGGGAAAGGAAAGTTCATGATTCAACTGCAAAGTCGTTTGGGGTGGCAGAAACTTTCCTGTGGGGAAGGGAGGGAGGGTCAGAGAGCCCGTGTTCCCTTCGAAGAGCAGCAAGAGAGAACGAGGGAGGGACGCCGCCTTCCTCACCGCCCTTTGGAGCGACAGGGCCTGGCAAACTCATCTGGGACTGGGAGGGATTGCAGAAGTGCCTTAAAAAGGGCTGGGGGGGGGGGGGGGACAGGAGGAAGAGAGAGCTTTATCCCCTTGGGTTCTTTTCCTTTTTTGCTCCGTTCATTTCCAAAAGACCTACAGGCATGTGTGCACTCGCATACGATATATACGTATATATAATATGCTCTCTCTCTCTCTCTCTATATATATATATATACATATACATGTATGCATGTGGTGTATCCCACATACATGCATACATACATACATACATCTTGCATTGTGCTATACACACATATATAGTATATAATGCATATATATAATGTGCTCTCTCTCTCTATATATAT